TAACAAAAGTTTTTTTAAATATTTATTGTAATATATAGTCGATATTGTTTATTAAGTCCGTTGAAGAACGATTATCAATTGAAAACTAGCGTTTTGAAATAAAAAGAAACTCATTGTGAGAAAATATTTTGTAATTTTAAAACGTTTTTCCCAATTTTATCATGAATATTCTATTTTATTATAGTACATATAATCGATTAGATGTACATTATCCAAACAAATCCCATCTGTAGAATTTTGACTATAACCAAAAAATTTTGCTGATAAAGTTCAAAGCAACTTCCTCAAATGAGAATCATCAGCTAACGCGATCTTTAAAAAACAAAATCAAGATTGTGTTCGTGAAGAGAATCCCAATCAGGTGCAGGAAACTATAATCTAATTACACTCCCTTGTCAAAACAAACTCTGAGCTATTTCTCTGCCGTGACATTAGCTCTTGAAGACTCTTAGGATGTTGAACCCTTCGTTCTAACAGGAGAAATACGTTTTATGTTTCTTTTTGACAACCGCTCTATCACTCGCTATTACAATGAATATTTCTTATGAGTATCGTTCTTGCTATATCATCGGTTTATTTGGAAACCGTTTTCTTCTTCGCCGATTGGTTCCCCCACCCTTCCCATATCTTATTTTTCAGTTAAATATACAATTAGTAATAACACACACAAAAACCTTTATTAAGACACACAGGTCTTACAGAGGATTCTCCTTGGAGTTACAAGACGGAGAAACCTATGAAAGTGGGAAATATACAAAGGGGTAAAAATGGAGAAAGATTATATACACATGATAAATATATACAGATTACAATTAGTAATAACACGTTTAGTATTTTGGGGGCGTAAAATGGTAGTCACTCTCCATTTCATACAACTACGGCCCTATGTTCAAACCCTAAATTTGTCTCTCTTTTTCTGAAAAAAAGTTTGATATTTCCCGACTCTTCCAAATCCATCTACACCCGTGAGTTTAAGTAACCAAAAGGGACTATGGCGCATTGTAAGTTGAAAACCGAACTGCTCTCAGCATGTTTATACAAGTGGTGTACATACAGTGAAAAAAATCAGTTGTTAACTCTACTCTCCCATGATTATCATGGCTTGTACCACACGTGTACTTAGGATTCTAGTAGAATAAAAGTATTTTGTGAAAAAATAGTACAAAAGTGAAATTGTACTGGGATCGAGTTGATATATTAAGGTGAAAAAAGTATCTCCTGATCATGTAAGCCATCAGTAACTTTTTGTTATTTATCTTTTGTTTATTTTATCATACAAATCCGTGTATAAGACTGCCTTAATGTGTAAATATCAATTACTTGCTTTATTTTTCCCCTTTGCAGATTTCGCAGTGATTCCATTTAAAGGACTATATGTGTTGATAAAGGCTCTTGTTTTGTTATTCACAAACATTATTTTAATTACAATCACCTTCGCTTCATCCATTACAGTTATCTTGTGATCGTACAGTCCTTTTGTCCGGACCTTGGTATACTTGTATTGTAACAAGATGTAACAATTCCAATGCCAAATGTCCAGACATGGACATACTTGTAGTGTAACAAGATGTAACAATTACAACCATAATACAGTCCTTTTGTCCAGACATGGACATACTTGTATTGTAGCAAGAAGTAACAATGCCATCGTACAGTCCTTTTGTCCAGACATGGACATACTTGTATTGTAGCAAGAAGTAACAATGCCATAGTACAGTCCTTTTGTACGGACATGGACATACTTGTATTGTAGCAAGAAGTAACAATGCCATCGTACAGTCCTTTTGTACGGACATGGACATACTTGTATTGTAGCAAGAAGTAACAATGCCATCGTACAGTCCTTTTGTCCAGACATGGACATACTTGTATTGTAGCAAGAAGTAACAATGCCATAGTACAGTCCTTTTGTACGGACATGGACATACTTGTATTGTAGCAAGAAGTAACAATGCCATAGTACAGTCCTTTTGTACGGACATGGGCATACTTGTATTGTAGCAAGAAGTAACAATTCCAATGCCATAATACAGTCCTTTTGTACGGACATGGGCATACTTGTATTGTAGCAAGAAGTTACAATTCCCGTAATTCTACAGTTTTCTAGTTTAAACACCATTCCATCAATACGTTAAGTCCTCCAATATTTTAGCTACCTTATCGCCGTATTTTTCCTCGTTGTTTGTTTTCCTTTAATAAAATCCCTTCTGGAGCTAAATTTAATTAACCCTCGATATAATTCTCTAGAAATTGGTGCTTGATGGCTGGTTTTAATAACATCGATTGGTCGAGACATAATTTGAGGAGCTAATTAAAAACAAGTCGATATATCGGGGACGAGGAGAACACACAAGCCGGCATTCTAGCGTGTCTAGTAGAATTGATTTCTGTTAGGATATTGAATAACGAAACTATTTCAAATCATCGCAATATATCACTGAAATATACTTGTTAAAAAATCTTATTGGTGTATCGAAACACTATCCTTTGAAATTTAGATTTCAAATCATAGAGACTTAGTTGCTAAGTGATAAGTTTTCTTTGAATTAACCAAGGCATTCGACAATTGAGCATTTAAACAATTTTATAAATTTTTCCAATCAATTGTTACAGAAAAATATTAAGATCAAATAAAGGATAATATATAATAAAGGAATAAATAACGTGTACATAAAATGTAGAAAAAATATATATACAGTTGTATATGTGTACAAATTTCTTCAGCAAGCAAGGCTTCCCCACCTTGAGAAAGTTCTCCTCTAGACAAGGTCTTCTTGATCAATCCTCAGTTCCATGCCGAGGAAGTACTTATAGCTGCATGTCTTGGCAGACGCCAGGATGGCCAGGAACATTCGAGGCAATGACTTTTTCACGTTCCTAGCAATAAATGTAAGAGCCATATAGTGTGGCTCGAAACCTCTTCTTGGCTAAATCATTGAAACGATCCTTTAGCAACCGAGTGTTCTTCATTTAAAACTTTTGAGTGAATCAACTTTTACTCCTAAGGAAAATATTGATAGGTTATCGAATACAAATTGAAATCAAAATATAATATAAACCTTTATGTTTGTTCAATGTCTATGCAGGGCGATAGTGAGTCATCGAAATGTAGGCATTAAAATATACAAAAATTGTGATATGTGCATATAAAATTATATATAAATATCTCCATATTTTAGGCGATTCGACACGAACTTAGGTTATTCACATAGATTTTCATGTAGAACTAGATTGAGAATGGCAAGTTCTTTCCCAGCCAACCCACATAGAGAGTAGATTTATGAATAATTCTCCTTGTTAGCTACCTACATAAGTTTTAACTTTAAGACACTTGGTCTATCTTATCATACAAGATGGTGGATTTCAGCATCCTTTAGCCGGAAACTTTTTTACTTGTTATTATTTTTTCATATTTTTAGCGTATTTACGCATGTTTGGCTTTAAATATCCATTTCTTGTTTTCTCAAGAAGCCGCTGGGACCAAAAATATTTTTGGTCGTAAAAACGAGGGCCAACAGCCCGAAATGCGTTCGTGGTTGGCTTTTCTTGATTTATCAAAGCATGGGTTGGCCAAATATCAGAGAACAGGTTAAATCAACGTTTAATGATTTCTGTTCCACTAGATGGCGCTCTGCCATCTAAAAAAAAACGTTCGTGTTAATGGCCAGGATATGCCTAATTTGTTTTTTCCTTACTTATGTATCCTATTTCTTACTTATGTATCCTTAGCATTGTATCATTTGATAAGAGAATACACTTTTGTATTAGGTAAGGATCATGCTCGGCATCGTTACTGTGGCATCCAGTACGGCCGGTGTACCTAGACGCCACAAACCTGACACCAGCTTATGTAGCATTTCATCGTCACCTCTTATGGCCACGTGTTTCTAAACTATGCGTACATATTTATTGAATAAATTCCTGCACCGGGCGATATTAAAGTCTCACCTGATTAAACCATTATCACTAATAACCCATTGGAATAAATGGGCAAGTAGATTTATACTTCTTATCCCGGGTTTTCAAGAGATGAAGCTATACAGAGAGTAGGTACAGATGGCTGGCTGTACCTAGCTAACCTATTGTTATATTGTTTTAAAAGAGTTTAAAAGTAGAGAAGAAAATGATCGGCTGATATAATATATACTAAACCTCCTGTTTGTAGAATTGAATGTTGATGATGGTTCATGCCATCTATCGAAAAATATATTAACTATCTGTTGATTTTAAAAGACCCGCTGGCGATACTCCACCAAAGTCTACAGCGGTGGCAGAGGCGCTATATTCATTGGCCCAGATTAGCGTACAGCTTCTCGAATGATTGGATTCCACATATAAAGTACCTCATTACACTAAATTGATCAAATATTTTCTGCTAGTACATTGAATTTTCTGAAAAATTATGGTCAATATTTTAAGAACGTTCTCTCATTAAAGTTTTGCCGATGTCTTCAGAATGAAGAATTTTTTCATTATAACAATTTTATTCGATTTCTATTTCTCGAAGGGTGAATCGGAGAAGGCGAGAAATTGCTCTAAACAAATTTCTAAGAACGGACACATGTCCATCAAGGTAGATTGCTGAAAGCCTTGAGGGGTTCTTGAGATTTGTTGACAGTAATCTCAAATTCCACTCCTCAGAAATTCAAAGAGTAAATCTGTTTCAGAGGAGGTTTTATATAGTATGAACACTAAGAAAATACGTAAAACAAAATTACGAAAATAATCGAAAAATATGAAAAAAACAAAAAAAAAAGTGAAAATAAATTACTATTAAAATATTTATTTATTTACATTTATATAGTTTTTGATTAGAGAGTAAATGGACTCACTCTGAGCAAGTGTATTGAGTGTATACGTTAATTTATTCTAAAAATAATAATAAATTCCAACACCAACGAGAAAACCTACAAATTGGTTGTAAAAACTGAACCAGAGCAACAATTCACTTCTCCCCCCGTGCAACGTTATGCCAACTCTACACGCCAAGACATATATAGATCTTACAGCACCAGGTGTTCCCAAGTGGTCACCCTCCCAAGTAGTGACCGGACCTAACATTGCTTAACTTCGGTGATCAGACCGGTGTTTTCAGTGTGGTATGACCGCAGGCAAAAACTTCATCTACCCCGGAACCCTTTTATATCTACAAACTCGTTCGTCCTTCGTCAAGAATTGGATAAATTGGAAGATTAGTCATCTTAAAAAAAAAAAAAAAAAAAAAACACAGGCCATGATAATCACGGTAAATAGTATTTAGCGACTGCTACAAGTCCATATCTCAGAAGAAGGCCAAGTGACACTCACTCCTCACTTTCTTACTGCTACTCTTTTTGTGTTGTTTTTCTTGCTTCCCTCTTTCTCTTTTTTTTCTTTTTCTTCTGTATATATCGTATTTCCTTTGTCTCACTGCTTTGTTCTTATGCACACCTCTGGTGAATCCTGTATAGGGTCAGTGACCCTAAATAAAGGCTTTTTGTTGTATTTAGCGACTGCTTTTACATGTCTATACACGTAGAAAGCATGTTCGACATTTGCACATACAAATGTTGTAGAGTCCTGTTTGAGTACTAATTGCTTGTTTACTGGTGGGGCTGGCTTTTGCAAAAAATCGGGAGCCATTCGAGCAATTTTTTATTATTCAGAAAAAGTGTCCAATGCGGCGGAATTCGCTCCTGGGCTATTGGAAATGGATGGTTTATACCTCTCCGACCCCCTAAAAATGATGTTAGAGATAAGCTTAACTTTTTCATCAAAATAATGTAATAGTTATATCTATCCAATCACACAGATTATCATCCAATTCGGATATTTATTTCGGCCATATTACATTATCAAAAGGAAGCCCGAAAGTTGAGCTAAAGGAAAGAACAAATGTAAGTATTTGACGCTGATTCTTTGGAAAAATACAAGATAATTTAACAAAAAAATCTATATATCAAATATGCGAAATAAACTCTGAGAGAAGAATTACAAAAACTATAAAAAGACTCAGAACGAAACACTATAAAGGAATAACAATACATCCAGATGGCACAAGAACCTACAGGACATGCAACAACTATCCTGGTGTGGAACTAACACCTACCCACATATTCTCATGTCCAGCAATGCCCGCAGCCTTGCAGAAAATTGACATGGACCCAGAACAGCAGCTTTACCCACCCAAGATAGTGGACATTATGACTGCTGTGATATAGATGTATGGAGACATCTTAGCTCTTCATTGGACACGACAACAACAACAACATTACACTCTCAATCGATGGAAATTGTGACAATATCATTTTTTCCATATATATACTTTTAAAAAACTACTTAGAGCTTCTCCTTTGGGAAATCTCCCAATCTACTTGTGGCACCACCTCATGAATTGGGGATCACCACATGCCTTATAAATAAAACACAAGTATATGAAACTAATTATCTTAATTAGGTTTTTGTATATATATCATATGCATTATCACATTGAATACAAATGAATTTACCTTTTTTATACTCTTTTCCCTTGCAGACTCCGTGACGAGTCCATGTATAAGTCAATAAGCCTTAATAAAGACATCGCACAGTGTAAATAAGAAGGCATAGGTGTGAAGAACAGTCAGGGTAGTTGAGGACATGGGTTAACTAAATAACAATTAATAATAGATCCACGCGGCAACTAATCTACCCCGGGTTACCTAACGTCCTACTTCAGTATGCAGCCAACCACAGACCAAGCCACTTCCTTTCAGCGCAATAATGGACGCGCGCCACCGAGCGCAATACTTCGTTTGGCACGACCCTCTCTCTCTAACCTATTTTCCACACATTATATAAGTCACCTCGTCTTTTAGCTTTAGGTTGAAATATGCCCAAATATATAATAAAGATTCTATCCTGCTTTTATATTTTGACTTGATCAATAAGGAATATAGGATTCAGTTTCTTTTCGTAATTCTTTTATTTCTCGAGCTTCCGGGCTAACATGCCCTTCAACATGGAGACACCAGAAGTATCGACAAAAGTTACTGTTACGGGTTATCACACAAAAAGGAATAACTAGGGCCTACAGTAAGAGTAACTTAAACACAGAAAAAGGTACACTCAAGAGTACAACACCAACAACAAAAAGGGGTGGAAAAACACGATTTGTTAAATAAAATAAAAACAGTACTTATATTTTATTTGCAGCGTTAATAAGGAGCGGACCGGGGTTTCACAGGTATGTGAGGAGAATCACCAGACAAGCACACAGAGAACGCTTTAAGCGTCTCCACTCGAACACCCCTCCACCACTCCTCGCATTCCGTTTCAACCCTCTTTTATGTACAAACATGGCCACATTCGTCCAATGAGAAGACGTGGGAGATCAGTTCCCTTAACAAATAAACAACATTCTTCCCGCATAACTGAGAAGATTAAAACTGCTATGTTTGTCAAATAATTTGACAGTATCACTTCTAATTATAACACTCCGTGTTGAAGGGCATCTTAGCCCGAAAGCTCGATAAATAAAAGAATTACGAAAAGAAACTGACCCCTAGATTCCTTATTGATTTAGTTTTTAAAAATATTTCTTTGGGGGGCAGGGAGGGGGGGGGGGGGATAAATCCTGTCAAAAACGTGACTATATTGAACTGCCGACGATATTTATATGTCTCAAAATCTCCCCAACTTTATGCCTATAGGAAATAAAAATACTTGAAACTAATGAAAGAGATATTTTGTTGCATATTTAATAATCCGCGAAATTTTAAAACCCGAAGGCGAAAATATCTTTCCCGATATATCGTTCTCATGATTAAGGACCGTGATATGAAATGAGATCAGGTATTTTCTTTCTTGATTTTCGTTTATTTATTTACATACTGTACAAATATGCAAAGACTCTCTGTTCAATTTGCACCAAAACAATACATTTGGTTAATACCCCTGTGCAGAACGTACAAAATCGTACGAACGAATATAGAACGCTTCACGATTTTGGGTGTCATCCTTGCGCAGGGGCCATGCTAATATTCTCTGTATGGTTCAAATTTTATTAGTTGTACCGCCGAACAGGCGTGTATTCGGACGTACGATTGCCTTAACACTAGCTTAGACAAATTCAGTCAAAAGTCAATCTGTATACATATGTGTCAGGGTTTCGTGTTACAGGGACAGCTTCGATGTTGTAACATCCTACGAAACGAGTTCTGAAAAATGGCGAATCTATGTTGCCACACACACATGGTACATATACTCTCTGTATAAAATATAATATTGAACTCAATTGTCTTAATTATAATGTATAAATTTCATTATCTCAATATTGATTGTGATTTGCTTTTTTTTTAATCTTCATTTGAGGTGAATCTGCGGTAAACCCATGTATAATATATTTCTTTTCCTCCAATTTACCTATCTATTAGCTTGATTGTCTTTATATAATTTATCCTGTATATAAATATCATATTACCATTAAGTTACTATTACTTTAACTCCTGCATGTATCCTACATTTCTGCTTGGAGAATCTATATAAGACTAAAGGTCTTAATAAAGCCTTTTGTTAGATGGAAAATTTGCCGGGAGGAAATTAATCCATAGAAGCAATGGGCGCTTCTATGGAAAGCTTTTTGTTGTTGTATATATGTGGAAAACTATATTATTATAATGTAGATAAACAATAAAAAGAAAGAAATGTAGTATAACAGCAGAAAAATATACTATTCTATAATGTTTCTCTCCGTCTAATTTCCCAAGAATGCTTCGATCTCAAAAAGTGTTACATAATGGCTCAGCGAGCGTGTCCCAATCAATTCTCCTATCGTCTCCTTCCTCGTTCTTAGCCAGGGAGCAACTACCGGGATAAATATTCTCCTTCTCCGTATATTGGAATATATCATTGGAATATAGAGATAACTCGTCTCATATATGACTGGTAATTAGCATCAGGCGGCGTTTTATTCATTGTATATGTTCTCCTGAGGAAGGACAGAGATGCCTGAAAGCTTGAGATGGTATTTGAAATAAAAAGAAATTCATCTCTGGAAACCTTTTAAATTGTTTATGTAATATGACTGATATTATCGAGGATATATTAGAATGCGAAACTTGTCCGTTCAACTTTCCAAAGTAAGAACATGCGATAGTTTTAAAAGCAATTGTTTTAAGGAAACGACTGTGGAAGGACATCTCACATGTAATCCTATAGAATGAAAGATCGACAATTTATAAAACCTATTACGTCAAAGTGATGTGTATAACAGTATCGTAGTGAAAGAGAAGGTAGGGAGGTCGCGCGGGAAAGTTGGCGCCAAACTTCGGGGTCGGACCTTGAGGAGTACCATCTGTACTTCCCCTTGCGCATGCGCCCGACTCTGCCAAGGTTGTCCGCTGCGGCCGGAAACCGGCGGCCAACTCCCGCGGCCAGGCCTACGGTACCCTCTCCCGCCGGGACCGCGCCCGGCTCCTCGGCTAGTTCTATATGTATTCTAGCCAGTACATCGAACTTATTTCCATTGTACTGTGAGCTTCACTAACTTGTTCAGTCTTTGCGGAAACGTTTTATAAAACAGATTGATTACCTTATTCATTTTACAATTAATATATATTTTTAATGTGCCAGGTTTCATATGAAAATCGCTCTTCTACAGCCTTTTATATAGAGGAACAATTATCGCTTGCTTTTTTATGTGAAAAAAAAAATCATTGTGAAAAGTCGTTTTAGAATATTGATATATTTTACAATATCGCCTTAAATTATGAATAGCTGGTTTTTCATCGATTAAAAATTATAGGTCTCTATTGTGTCTATTCCCCTCCCTCCCCCCTCCAATAATCCTGTGGCGAAATTCAGATTTAGAAAAAAATGTTTTAATTCGAGATAAAAAAAAAAGCATACACAATATTTTATATCAATTTAACACGATTTCTCTTATTTTCCTTTTGCGTCTTTTCCCATTTAAAAGACAATGATTGTATGACCGACACATACTTACTGTACTTAATAGCAGCTCTACTGTCTCTCTTCGAGTCTTTATTCTAAAGAGCGAATACTGTGTCAAAATAATTTCAATTCTCATTACATATGACTGCTTTATTTATTATATATTACATATATGTGTAAAAAAAAAACAAACAAAC